TTTTTGCTCAGCATACATATTGAATGAGCATGGTGAAAGGATACAACCCTGGCACACACCTTTCCTCATTTCAAACCATTTACTATCTCCTTGCTCTGTTCTAACAACAGCCTCGGGTTTTTGTACAGGTTTCTCATTAGCACAATTAAGTGTTCTACAATACCCATTCTTCACAATGTTATCCATAGCTTGTTGTGATCCACACAGTCTGCTTAGCTCTTTTACATGTGCCGTTCTCACATTTGCTTTAGTGTCTCCGTGTGGAGAGCAATTTTCAGTTTGTTCTGACATCTATTTTGGTCTCTTCCTTCTTTCCTGATTCTTAATGACCTTTTGCTTTCTTCTTGCATGTCATCCCATAACTCTTCTGGTCTTTGGTCATTAGTGTCTAATGCAACAAATGTGTTCTTGAGACTGTCTCTAAATTCAGGTGGTGTACATTCAAGGTCAAATTTTAACTCTTGCGGACTTGTTTTAATTATCTTCAGCTTCAGCCTGAACTTGTCTCTGAGCAATTGACGATCTAACAATACAACCTTTCCAGTTTCTTCCCACAGATGTAGTCAATTTGATTTCTATGTATTCCATCTAGTGAGGTCCATATGTATAGTTGTCTTTTTTTTTTTTTTAAATGTTTTATTGTGAATTATTTGATAATTTACATGGGAGAACATTAGTTTTACATTCATCCTATCGTATATCATTTATTGCCATGGCTACAATCCCCTGCGTGCATCATCAATCAACCAAGGGGTATATCCTGCAAGCCTGCTCCCCCCGTCCCCCTCCGGTTGTCAGCACACAGCCCCTCTTCCTGTCTGGGTCTAAAGTCCCCAACTGATCCATCTCTCCACAGCATCGTCTCTGCCTCCATCTCTCAGGCATCACTGCTTCTCTGGGTAGGGTCCCTCTTGCTCTCTGCTCTTCTTCCTTCATGGTCCCAGGGACCTCCGCTCCTAGACTGCAAGGTTAATTACTCCCCTCCTTGCTACAAAATGTGGATAGTTGTCTTTTATGGTGTTTAAAAAAGGTATTTGCAATGAAGAAGTCATTGGTACTGCAAAATTCTATCATGCCATCTCCAGCATTCTTTCTATCACCATGGCTATATTTTCTAACTACTGATCCTTCCTCTTTGTTTCCAACTTTTGCATTCCAATCACCAGTAATTATCAATACATCCTGATTGCATGTTTGATCAATCAGAGACTGAAGATGTTGGTAGATTTCTTCAGTTACATCATCACTGGTTTTAGTGGTTGGTGCATAAATTTGAATAACAGTTGTACTAACTGGTCTTCCTTGTGTGTGTATGGATGTTATCCTATCACAAATAGCACTGTACTTTAACATAGATCATGATATATTCTGATGAGGAAAGCAACTCCACTTCTCTTCAATTTGTCATTCCCTTCATAGTAAACCATGTGAATGTCAGATTCAAAATGGCCAATACCAGTCCATTTCAGCTCGCTAGGATATCCAACTTTATATGTTCCATTTCATTTTTGACAACTTCTAATTTTCCCAGATTCATACTTCTTCGTACATTTTATGTTTCAATTATTAATGGATGTTTACAACTGTTTCATCCCTTTCCCAGTCATATTTTGGGTGCCTCCCAATCTGAGGGGTTCATCTTTTGGTACTATATCTGACAATATTCTGGTGCTATTCATAATGTTTTGATATCCAATATTCTGGTGCTATCTGGCAGTGTTCCATGACTATTCATGAGGTTTTCAGTGGTTAAATATTCAAAAGCAGTCCGTCTTTATTCCTAGTCTGTATTATTAGTCTGAAAGCTTAGCTGAAATCTTCCAGACTAATACATGGGTGACTCTGCCAAAATTTAAAATATCGGTGACATAGCTTCCAGCAATGTGCAAGCCACCACAGTATGATCAACTGACAGAAATGTGGCGGCAAAAGATAACATATGATTTCATTTCTGTGAAATGTCTAAAATAAAGAATACTATGTTGTTGTTAAGTACTGTTGAGTGGGTTCCAACTCATAGCAACCTTTTATAAGGTTTATGAGGAGTGGCTGGTGAATTTGAACCACCAACCTTGCAGTTCAAACCCACCTTGTGGTGAAGTACATTCGCCTGCAGCGCCATAATAGGATTCCTATAGAGACAGAAAATAGATTAGTACTTCTCAAGGGCTGGTGGTAGAAGTCGAAGATTGGAGGCTGAGAGGTCTGGAGTTTCTTTTGGGGGTGATAAAATGTTGGCACTGTGGGTTAATGCACTGGACTGAAAGATGGTTTGAAACGCAAGGCTGGCAGTTCAAGCTCACCAGCCGCTCCTTGGAAACCCTATACAGAGTCACTATGAGTCAGAACTGACTGGACAGCACTTAACAACAACAAAATGCTTTCAATTAATTGTGCTGATAGTTGCACAACTCTGTGTATATGTTAAAAACACTGGAAGCATACTTTAAATGAGTGCGTTGTCTGATTTATAAATTATGTCTCAATAAAGATATCACCAAAAAACAGAAGTGGAAATAAAGACATTTTCAGAAGGGGGAAAAAACAGAATTAGTTATCAGTAGACTTGACCCATTAGACATACTTTAAAAAAAAAAAAAAGTTTCATGCTGAAGGGAAATCACAGCAGATGGCAACCTGTATCTATGAAAGGAATGGAGAGAAGCCGAAATGGAACATAGATAGGTAAATCAATGACCAAGAGGAAGGTTCCCAACAAGGTAGATTGGCAGCAACAATGGGCTCAAGTATGAGAGCAATAGTGAGGAAGGTGCAAACATAGTCACCATGAGTCAGAGCTCACTCAATGGCACCTAACAACAGTAAGAAACCATAAGTATTTGTTTTATTTTCTTAATTTCTCTAAGAGATACGTTGTTGATAGGTGCCATTGAGTCAGTACAGACTCATAGCAACTCTATGCACAACAGAAAGAAACACTGCCCGGTCCTGCGCCAACCTCACAATTGTCGCCACACTTAAGCCCACTGATGCTGCCACTTTGCCAATCAATCTTGCTGGGGGTTTTCCTCTTTTTTTCTGACCCTCCACTTTACCAAACATGATATCTTTATCCAGTGACCGGTCCCTCCTGACAATATGTCCGAAGAGAGATGAAGTCTGGCCATCCTGGCCTCCAAGGGCACTCTGGCTACACTTCTTCCGACACAGGTGTGTCTGTTCTTTTGGCAGCTCATGACACTTTCAATATTCTCCTCCAACCCATAACTTAAAATCATCATTTCTTCTATGGTCTTCCTTATTCTCTGTCCAGCTTTCACATGCATATGAGGTTATTGAAAATATCATGGCTTGGGTCAGGCGTACCTTAGTCCTCAAGCTGACATCTTTGCTCTTCAACACTTTAAAAAGGTCTTGTGCAGCAGATTTGCCTAATGCAATACATCCTTTGATTTCTTGGCTGCTGCTTCCATGAGTATTGATAGTTGATCCAAGAAGAATGAAGTCCTTGACAAATTCAATCTTTTCTCCATTGATAACAATGTTGTTTATTGGTCCAGTGGTGAGGATTTTTGTTTTCTTTACATTGAGATGCAATCCATACTGAAGGCTGTGTTCTTTGATCTTCATCAATAGGTATTTTAAGTTCTCTTCACTTTCACCAAGCAAGGTTGTATCATCTGCATATCACAGGTTGTTAATGAGTCTTCCTCCAATCCTGATGGCACGTTTTTCTTCATAGAACCCACCTTCTAGGATTATTTGCTCCGCATACAGGTTGAATAAGTATGGTGAAAGAATACAACCCAGTCACACACATTCCTCAATTTTAAACCATTCATTGTTCCCACGTTCTGTTCAAACAACTGCCTCTTGGTCCATGTACAGATTCCTCATGAGTACAATTAAGTGTTCAGGAATACTCATACTTCACAATGTTGTCCATAGCTTGTCATGATCCACACAATGGAAAGCCTTTGCATAGTCAATAAAGCACTGATATTCTCTGCTTTCAGCCAAGGTCCATCAAACATCAGCAATGATATCCCTCATTCCATGGCCTCTTCTGAATCTGGTTAGAACCTCTGGAGGTTCTCTGTCAATGTATGCTTGCAGCCATTTCTGTATTACCTTCAGTAAAACTTAACTCGCATGGGATATCAAAGAGATTGTCTGATGATTTCCACATTCCATTGGGTCACCTCTCTTTGGAATGGGCACAAATACAGATGTCTTCCAATCAGTCAGCCAGATAGTTGTCTCCCAAATTTCTTGGCAGAGATGAGTGAGTGCCTCCTGTGCCACCTCACTTTCTTGAAAAATTTCAGTTTATTCCATAAGAGATTTATGACTATTTAAATCAAAACACTGTTTAAGATATAAGTTGTTGACTTAAGACATAGTAGCCACAAGTCGATTCCTATTCATAGCAACTCCATGTACGACAGAATGAAACACGACATGGTCTTCCACCATCCTCACCATTGTGGTCACATTTAACCCTCCTACTGTTGCAGCTACTGTGTCAGTCCTTCTAGTTGAGGGTCTTTTCTTTTTTCTGGTATGATGTCCTTTTCCAGGGGCTGGTCCCTCCTGATAACATATCTAAAGTATATGAAATGAAGTCTCATCAGCCTTGCTTCTAAGGAGTATTCTAACAGATTTGTTTGTTTATCAGGTTCAGTATTCTTCACCAACACCATAATTCAAATACATCAATTCTTCTTTGGTCTTCCTTTTTCACTGTGCAACTTTCACATGTACATGAGGTGACTGAAAATACCACACATATATACAATGATTACTGAGCTAGCTATTTGTAAGAGTCCGGGTGTGGCACAGTAGAGTAAGCACAGGAATGTTAACCACAAAGAAGGTGGTTCAAACCCACCAACTGCTCCTTGAAAACTCTATACAGGGTTGCTATGAGTTGAAACTGACTTGGTGGCACTTAACAACAACAGTTATTATAAAAAACACACCCGACAGGCATTTATCTTATTAATAACATATCATAGAATAAAATAAAATGTAATTACCAAAGTTAAATTAAAGTGGAAGATGCCAGTATATGTACTATTTATGATTTCCAAACTGGGAGCAAGTCCTCCTGATGTAAACATGCTTAGGAGTCCCCTTGAAGTAGCCTCGTCTTCAGTGAGAAAGAAACACCGGACCTCCTTTAGGAAAGAGGGACCAACACAAGTAATAATAATTAATTTACAGGAGAGAAGAATGTGCTACTAATCTGAAACTGAAAAGCAGTCTGCAAAAAAGTAGATGCTGCTGAAGACTTATTTTTAATACTTCTAATCTCTAGTTGCTCTGGTAGTGTAGTGGTTACGAATCAGGCTGCAAACCTTAAGGCCAGCGGTTCGAAACTACCAGCTGCTCCGCGGGAGAAAGATGAGGCTTTCTACTCCCGTAAAGATTTACACCCTTGGAAACCCTGTACAGGGTTGCTATGGTCGGAACTGACTCGACGGCACTTAACAATAACAACAACAATCCCTAGTTGGGTACTGGGGTGGTGCTGTGGGCTAATGTGTCAGATTGCAAAATCATTTGAACTGCAAGGTCAGTAGTTCAAGCTCACCAGCTGCTCCTTGGAAATCCTATACAGGGTCACTGTGAGTTGGAACCAACTTGATGGCACTTAACAATTATTACTACTAGTACCACTGCTAGAACTAAAGCATCACAATTATCCCCAAAGAAGGCTATAATCCACCGTTTTCTTCTGAAAATTTTATTGTGAATTGAGTAGTGTTTACAGTGTAGATCATTAGTTTTACATTCAGTAAATTGTACACTTTGTTTCAGATCAGTGATTATAATCTCCTCCCTGTAACAAGTTTCCCTACTTCCTCCCTGTGGTTCCTCTTTGCATTCCATCTTACTTCCCAATCCTTCTGAACTTTGTCCTTAGGTAAATGTTGCCCTTTTGACCTTGAATGATTGTTCATTCCATGGTGAGCATATCTTACTAGTATAGCTGTCCCCTCATATATTTCTAACTACCACTTTGGTGAAAATTTGGCCACAAGGGTGAGTTCCGTTCCAGATTTGAAGGGTGGCCAAGCGTTGTAGTCTTGGGTTCCTCTAGTCTCCTTCTGACTAGTAAGCCTGATCTTTTTTATAATATTTAGTTTTGTTCCACATATAATACTCTTTAGAAGAAGACAAAACAAAGGGTCAAAGAGGCTAGGTAGCTTCTTCCTGGTCACAGAGCAAGACTGGATACCAGCTCTCTAGGTCTGTCTTCCCAAAGCCCATTCTTTTTTCAAAATATATCATTATAAATATGAAAAGACATTTTGACTTAATGGGCATGTATTTCACAATAATGTAAGTAAAAAAAAATACTTGTTTGTCATATTAAAGAAAAAAACAAACAAACTGGGGACTAACTGAAAGCAGATCTAGGGATAAATGCATTTTTCCTCATGGAGCGGTTTTCTTTGTTTTCATAGATTTTTGGGCAATCTGTACATTTTTATTTCCTATGTTTTTGTTGGCATTTGCTGCCTGTCTATCTTCAGAGCACTTTTTAATTATTTTATTGTTGTTGTTGTTTTTGTGTCTCCTATTATTTTAATCAAAGTAATCAAATCATTCCTTCCCTAGAGTGACAACAGCAATGTGGTACTGGTTAAAAAAGGAAGATTCTTTTTCAAGGTCATGTGAGGTAACTTTTTTTCTCTAACAGGGACATCTGTCAAACTTCAAAAGGACAAATCAGTCCCATAAAAAAATAATAAAAATCCTTACTGCCAATATGCATACTTTTAAAAAATGGGAAAGAGGCATTACTTTTATAAAACTGAGCAAAAGTATATAGGGTACGCAACGGCTAAATTAAGTATCTCATTTGACCTCTGGAATAAAAAGGACAGAAAAGATTACTGTCTATGGAGACATGTGTAAAAACTGAACTCGCCAAGACTATCCTGTCTTTCCAGGTCTCACAAGTTTTCCACCTTTGACAGAGTATGGTCTTACTACTTTTCTTCTATTTTCAGTGGGAAGTTTTGAGATTTACTTTTCTGACAGAATTCTCCTTTACACAAGTTTTGGCTTCAAGTTTTACTGTCTATGGAGCTCTCCCTCCCAGAGGCTGAAAAAAGGAGAATGTATTTGAAAATACAAAGCACAAGACTATTGTTTTCACACATGAACTGAAATTCATCCATACTATTATTGAAACTTACCAAGTAAGCTGAGGAAAGATACAACTTGAGCATTTCATCCTTTTTCGGGAACCCTTCTCCAGAACAAGCAAAGTGTCTTTGCATTCCATCTAAATAATACAGAAATATTTTTCTTTTAGGGTACCAATCAAGGAATTTCCACAAAAAGAACCATATTTTAAAAATACACTAAGTATTTTTTTTTCTTAAATGTTTTATTGTGAATTATGTGATAGTTTACATGGGAGAACATTAGTTTTACATTCATTCTATCGTATATCGTCTCATTGCCATGGTTACCATCCCCTCCATGCAATCCTTCTCCCGTACCCCCTAGGTCTTCAGCACACAGTCACTCTCCCTCTCTGGATCTAAAGTCTCCAGCTGCTCCATCGCTCCATGTCATCATCTCTGGCTCCATTTCAGGCATCATTGCTTCTCTGGGTAGGGTCCTGCTCTCTGCTCTTCTCCCTTGATGGTCCTAGGGACCTCCGCTCCTAGACTGAAAAGTTAATCACTCCCCTCCTTGCTATAAAACGTCTACCTTTACGTCTCCAACCCTCACAGTCCTGATAACAATTATTCACTATTGTATCACAAGAGACCCATCTGCATTTCATTGCATCAGCTCCACCTAGTCAGATTGAATACCACTCACTGGAGATTCTACCTTCCTCCAGGCCCTCTGGATCTAGGTCCCCACTTGAAAGCTTGTAAGCCAGTCACTTCTTGCCTTTGTAGCCCCCGCCCCCCATTTTGGGTAGCCAATGTCCAAGTTGCCCATCCCTGTCTACTCTGTATGTGGAGGGTGTGGGAATGATTCTTGCTATAAGGACTTGTTCCCTCTTTTGAGCTACTGCTTCCATAGGTGTAGGTCAAGTTCATCAAATTGTATGAGAATACTTTTTTTTTTTTTTTTCCTCTTCTTTTTACTTCTGGTTGAGCTCTGATCATCCAGTCATTGAAGCCAGGATAAGTGGGTATTATCTACAAGTGTGGGTGTTCTTATGTGTATGCCCTCTCTTCTTATCAGCTGGACGTTTCACTTTCCACTCGAGTCCTCTGTGGCTATGTCACTGAATCTGGGCCCAAGAGTCCCCATGGACCAAGTATTTTTAAAGACATAAGAATAATAATTGTATATTCTAAATTCTAAAAAAAGAAAACAAAAATCCTCACCACTGAACCAATAAATAACATTCATATAAATGGAGAAAAGATCAAGTTGTCAAAGACTTCATTTTGCTCAGATCCACTATCAACATTCATGGAAGCAGCAGTCAAGAAATCCAATGATGTATTGCATTGGGCAAATCTGGTGCACATGACCTCTTTAAAACATTGAAAAGCAAAGATGTAAGTTTGAGGACTAAGGTGTGCCTGACCCAAGCCATGGTATGTTCAATAACCTCATATGCATGTAAAAGTTGGGCAGTGAATAAGGAAGACTATAGAAGAACTGATGCATTTGAGTTATGGTATTGGTAGAGAATATTGAAAGTACCATGGGCTGCCAGAAGAATAGATCTGTGTTAGAAGAATATGTATAGCCAGAGTGCTCCTTAGAAGCCAGGATGGCCAGACTTCATCTTTCATACTTCAGAAATATTGTCAGGAGGGACCAGTCATTGGAGAAGAATGTCATGTTTGGTAAAGTGGAGGGTTGGAGATAAAGAGGAGGATCCCCAATGAGATGGACTGACACAGTGGCAGCATCAACGGGCTCAAGTGTAGCAGCAATTGTGAGGTTGGCCCAAGATTGGGCAGTGTTTCATTCTGTTGTGCATGGGGTCTCTCTGAGTTGGTACCAACTTGATGGCACCTAACAACAACAACAACAACATTCTAAATTCACTTTATTCCAGGTAAAGTTAAAGTCTTCCACTTCCCCCCTCTTCTTTTTTAAGATACGCTATCAGAATACAAACAGAAGATTTGACTGAAGTACTAATAAGAGACAATATACCACATGCTAGGTCATGACACCATCTTGCTTGCTGGAAATGAAGAATGTTCCTTAGAAGTGACGATGGTGAAACTTCATCTCTCATACCTTGGACGTGTTGTCAGGAGGGACCAGTCCCTGGACAAGATGGATTGGTACAGTGACAGCAACAATGGGCTCAAGAGTAACAACAGTGAGGATGGCACAGGACCAGACAGTGTTTCATTCTGTTGTGCATACGGTCGCTATTGAGTTGAAACCAACTTGATAGCACTTAATAACAACAAGCCATGACACAACATTTTCAAAGGTGGCTAAACACCAGCTTTTGACTCTTAAACTCCTCTCCATCAGCGATGGCATAAAAGGGTCAGGAGGTGAAGACTGGAGAAGGAATGAAAGTTTTGATAGAGAGCTCTTGTACTAGGAAGGTGACTCCTCTTCCCAAAGAGCCCTCTCGGGAAGGGTCTCTTCTTTTTTCTTAAGTATGAGGGGAGAGATTTTGATGGGATCACTCAGAAATGTAATGTGGATCTCCTGCAGCTAGAGGCACAGAGGCAGACTAAAAGTCTATGTGATGAGAGAGGATTTGGTGGAGAGAACAGGAGATGTGTTGATAGGAAAGGAAACCATTATTAGACGTTCTACACAACCAAATGGTGGTGTGACAAAGATGCATGAATACTTCCTGTGGTCCAGATGGGAGCTGTTTGTGAGATAGAAATAGCATAGGGTCATCTAAGGTTTTGTCCTCAAAGGACTCTTCAAGTGGCAACTAGCTCTCAGCAGAAGGACTAAGAAGGCATAGCTGGAGTTGTAGGACCAGAGAGAGGAATAAATGACCAGTGGAAATGGAGATGCTTTTGCCCTTGTTAGAATTACAGATGACAGATCCCCAGTAATGTAATGTAGAGGAAGAGTTCTGGCAAGCGTTTAGGACACTGATTAGCATTAGATACCTGCTGATAGCAAAAGTGCTACTGTCAGATGCTTGCCCCAGAATCAGTTAGGTAAGAACTATGTCAGTCCCCTGACTTCTCCCTTCCTGCCCTGAACCCTGAAGTAGAAGAGTCAACCCCTAAAGTGAGCAAGATAGGGGAAGGGCAAGATGGCAGAATAGGCAGAAAGTTGTGCAGACCCTCTGCAGCAAGAATCCAAAAGAACTGGACAAGACAGATTCAGAGGGTCCTGGGACTCTGACCTTCAGGTAGAGGATACAAGAGTGGATCCAGTGCTTACTGGGAGGGAGAGTTGAACAGATGGGACAGGAAAGGAGGTGACTTCTGATTTGGAGTGGCCAGTGGGACCTGCCACAGCCATTTTGAGCTTGTGAGCAGATTAAGAGACAAGAAAACATTTGTGTTGCAGGAGGCTGCCTGTGACTTACAGAGACAAAGGTGCAATTATTTTTTTTCTCTTTTCCTCTCAGGTGTAAAACCTGATGACCAGAGACAAGATCTCTGCAAGTGTGCACCCCAGGGAAGATCCCACTTTCTGGGGATGGGGGGTGGGGGAGGGAGGGAGGGGCACAGAATCATGTGGATGTGGTATTGTGTGCACAACCAAGACCAGCGGGTGAAGACAGAAGCAATAGCTCCACTCAGGCAGACCCTGCTCCAAATCTGCAAAGTTGACCCCAGCCAGCCCTGGACTAGCTCTCAGTAGGAGAAGCAGCTGAATGGTCGTGTTGGGTAGATAAAAGGGGAAAGAAAAAGAATAAAGGCACAGTGGGACCATCTTGAAATTTCTCAGGTGTACCAAAGGCAAGTGGCCATCAGGTGGCAGAGAAGCATTCTGCCTATTTTTCTGCTGTTGTTTGTTGATTTTTTCTTTTCTTTTGTTTTTATTTGTTTGTCTCCATTCTCTCCTGCGAGAGTGTTTTCTCTTTTTGCCTCACTCAACAGGAGACAGCATCTGAAGCAATACAACCCAACCACAGACTCTTTAGTCCCACCAATTGGGCTAGAGTCAATACCAGCTGCTATGTAACAGATCAACCAATGTCAGCTAAATTCACCCTGAACTTACACAAACAGCAAACAGAATGGTACACAAATTCATCACACACATCAGACCAAAGTTGGTGAGTCCCTAAGAATATACCAACATACATTCATCAACTTAATACAACACCACAATACCTCAAAAGCAACAGAAAATCTCTGTTGCATGAAGAAACAAGAGAGAATATCACAAACAACCAATAAAGCTAGAAAATGTTTTTGAGGAAAAAGAGGTACTGGAACTGCCTGAAAAAGAGTTCAGGAGAATGATTTTTAGGTACCTCCAAAGTATTGACAGAAAAGCCAAGGAAAACCAGAAAGATTTCAGAAAAGCACTATGGAACAATCAAATAAAACAGTTAAAGGATTGGAGACAATACAAAATCTGCAAATAAAAATCCAGTAGATTGTTACTAAGATATCAGAAATTTGGACAATACACTGAAAGGGCAAAGGAGTAGATTTGAATCAATGGAAGCCTGAATTAGTGAGCTTGAAGATAAATCTCTCAACACTTGTAAGCTAGAAGAACAATCAGAAAAAAAGAATGAAAAGATTCATGTGGGATAACATGAAGAATAACCTATAGGTGTGACTGGAATTCCAGAAGAGGAAAAGACAAAGAAAATCACAGAAAAGATAGTTGAAAAGTTGTTGTAAGCTAATTTCTCTAACATCGCAAAAGATGAAAAAATAAGCAGTCAAGAAGTGGAATGAACACCTGACAGGGTAAATCTTAAAGGAAATCACTTAGACATATCCTAATCAAAGTCCCTAATATCAAAGACAAGGAAAGCATCCTGATTTCAGCTTGGGTAAAAACAAAATGTTACCTACAAAGAGAAACCAACAGGATTAAGTTCTGATTTCTCAGCAGAAACTGCAGGCAAGAAAACCATAGGGAAACATATACAAAACTCTGGAAAACAATACAAAACAATAAAACCTTGCCAATCAACAATCATATACCTAGTGAAGTTATCCTTCATATATGATGGTAAAATTAGAACATTTCTGGATAAAAACAAATTAAAAGACTTTGCAAAAACCATGCAGACTTTACAAAACATACTAAAGGGAGTTCTTTGGACAGAGAACCAAGAACAGCAAACAACAGCCAGAAATTGACATACATGGCAACACCACCCAGAATTCAG